TTGATGACAAGAATTAATTCCTGTTCATTAGTGGGGGGCAGATCCATTTCGTTTGCTACATTTGTGATGAGCTGGAGGGGTCGAATGATGATTTAGGAATCTTGTCTTAACTGTTGTCCAATCTCAGTGAAGAAGCGGTTAAATGAGTCTGCGATATCCGGATCGTCTGTGACAATTTTTATCATTTGCCTCAACATTCCTGGTTGGATCTGCATCCTTTTTTTTGTTTTGAATTTATGAGAGTCTGTAATGTTTTCCATGTTTCCTTGGAGTTGGCAGAATGTTTTTTTTAAATTCATCACTGTAGTATTTCTTTTTGGCTAGCCTAAGAGACGTAATTAGAATGTTACGGTAAGAAGTGTATTTTGCATTATTTTAGGGACTGGGGTGCTTCAATTTCTGGTCGAATACCTTACTTTTATGTGTAATTGATAGAAGTCCAGGTGACACCCATGATTTGCGTGAGCTGGTTTTTCGAGAAATGTGCCTTGTGTGAGAAAACCTGGTGATCCCCGCATTGTAAACACACACAATCTGATTTGCAATAGCATCAGGTTCTGGATCATTTTCAATATCAACAAGGTGATCAACAAGGAATTGTTTAAATTCTTCCAGCCTTCTGTAAGCAAATGTGGTAATAGGTGTTCTAACATCAGGGGAGTGTGTGTGTGTGAGGCATAGTTCATTGGAGCAAAAATAGGGAAATGACATGACACTTCTGACACAAATGACACTTCATGACAAGTCATGAAGGAGGATATGAACATGAAGGTATGCATCACTTTTGATAAGACATTGCAAAATATGTTATCTAGAAGAGTACATGTTGGGTAGCAAGATCGAGTTGTCCTGGATATTGTAGGAAGGAAGCCATTTGAACACATGTTAGTGAAAAATGCTTGTACATTAGGATTGATATCAAGTGAGAACAGATCAAGGTTCAAATCACCAGTGTGTTCAACATGGAAGTGTGCCTTAGCAAGGTAGTCCTCTTTGGCGCAATAATGAACGGAGGCCCTCGGTCAAAGCGAAAGAAGAACAGCAAACTGCGCGCAGATGACCTGGGAGCAAGCCTAGCAAACGTAAAATGTGACGTCGAGCCAACGGACCAATGAGAGGAAGAGCTACATCACGCCTTATCTAATTTCGTTCGAGCCACAAAAAATAAATGGAACAAATGTGGGCGTTACAAGAGCAGAGTGTTGGCTAAAAGCGTGTCGTTTTTTAGGGTGGCATTGTGGTACCGATTTCCGGGGATCAGAACTCAATCTTCTCAGCTGATGACGGACGGCAGTCGCGGAGTCCAGGCGGACGCCAGATAACAACCTATGCTGAGCTGGGCGAAAGAGTCAAACGACGGGCCTCAAAACATTTATGAAGGGACCACGATGTCCAAATGCTCGTAGATGCGGCTAAACAGAGGGCGCCTGCATCGCCCGACAGGCCAAAGAAGATTAGGCGTGCGCTAAGTGAATCCCCCCACCATCCACCAGTTACATGGGCATCACCTGACAAGGGCTTGGCTATGTGTGTAGCACGTGACTTGACTATGCACGGGTTCAAAGTGGTGAGGAACGCAACTCATGGCATATCAAAACAATATATCTTCCGAGCGTACAACAAAGTGCAATCAACAAAAAACGACTGATGCTCACCGGCCGCAATAAGAACTTCCAGTGACACCAGGGCTCAAGTGATTCTGCAAGCACTGCTCGACCACACTATTCGTCGTCTGGTGGAAGCGCATGACATCCTGACGACGTTGGACCGACCGGTTGACCAGCCGAGACACAGCACACATGCAATCCGTGGTGCTCCCGCAGTCAAGTGGGAATTCGATGGAGCCACATCCCAATCAGTGTACAAGCAGACAGGCAGTGAGGAGGATGTAGGAATAGCGGAACAAAGCCTGTTTTGTACAATGGCATCCTTAAGACTCTGTCGACAACTCGGTGCTCTGGAAGAAAAGTGTGCCGTCACTAGCTAGGCTGTGCAGACTTTTTTGTATGAAATACATCCGCGAGACTGTAGATATGTTGAGAGAAGAGATCATACGGATCGAAGTTGAGATCAGTGCGCTGAAGCCGACGATCTTGGCTACTCTGGGCGACAACCGTGAAGACCTCCATCGTTAGCTTTGTCTCATGGGGGTGGACGAAAACAATCACTGCTCTGCCAAACACCAAAACCAGAACGTCTTGCATTGTGTGAGGAGCAGCACCGAGGCAAAAATGACCTGAATGCATTACTAGCTCGCCCTGCATGTAAGGAGACCTACCAATTCGGTCTCGATGATGAACGCTTGGATTCGTATTTTCGAGGGTGTCATTCACGTACCATGTCATTTGCCAATGAAGACTTGAGCGGTGACATCAAAACACAAAGCCGCCGTAAATGAACGGAAAGTAGTGGTGCAGTGACGTTTTCGAGAGATCAGCATGGTAATGGATCAGCCGAGAGCAAGGTTTGTTGTTGCTTATTGGAGTTTGCGGGCGGTGTTTACGGGCGTTTACAGTGGTTTAGTGCGGTGGTCATTTGGCGCCCATAACGAGACCGAGAGCAAGAAGAAGTGGCACATCAAACGACGGCAACACGGCACGTCATGCGTTCAGAGATGTGAGCAGGCTCAGTGACCTAACAAGTGTGGACCCGAGATGTGAGCAGGCTCAGTGAAGTGACAAGTGTGCACCCGAATCTTCTTTTTATCTCGCCCATCAGCACTCAGAAGTACGTGCGACACGTTATGGAGGTGGCTTAGTTGCTCGTGCCATTGTATCCATGGTACTATACGCCCTAGTCTGTACACAAACTGCTGGTTCATGGAGCGGACGTGATCGAGTGTCAGGATGTCACGAGGTGTCATGTGTCATAAACAAGCAATTGCCGAAGACGTACCAATCTTCAAGACTGATTGCTATACCTCAGGTGACTTGTGGCGCAAAATAAAGACGCACATTTGCCGCGATCCAAACTTGTTAACCGAGTGACGACATTCACAGTCACAGTGTGACATTTAGTAGCATGTGCCGAAGGGACACGTGACGCTAACCTTTTCACAAAACAAGTGATAGACATGTCTGGTTTTTATTTGGGCCCTAAAGGATGTTTCTATGTTGATTCGTTGTTGAGTTAGAGGTTTCGGCCGCTTCTGAAATCGAATTAGCACAACGTGCACCGGTGCCAGCTGCGCTCGTGGCTCTTGCGGGTAGGGTTGCCCCGTTCCTGGAATTCGGTGGCGGCGAGCCGCCGCCCAGACCGGCCGTCTCGGCCTGAGCAAATAAACTCAGGGTTCCGGAAACTACCGGGCGGTGACTAATGCAGCCGGCTGCTGTCATCTCTGCTGCCAGCTGATGGTGAGCGATGGCGGCGCTCGGGAGACCAGGCGGCAGACGCGCCTCAGTTCTGCTCTGCTCGCGCCCACCTTCCCATCGTCCTGCCGCCCGGCGCTATCTATGCAATCTGTCAGCACGGATTGCTGCAATTGCATCCGTCTGACCTTTGCATGGGCAGTACACAGTTCTCATAGACCATTCCGGACGGGCACGGACGTCGGAGCGCGGGGCTTGTCTCCCACTCGATGTCTGAGCATGGGGCGCGCGGCTCCCGCTGTCTCGGCAGCTTGCGACAGTGCGCTGCGCGCTGACACCAAACGCAGTTAACCATTGAGCGCTCGAGCGCATAGAGTTCGCTCCGATCGATGCCAGCATCCGCGCCTTATTATGCTTTCAGAGTGCTGTTGCCTGGACAGTTGTTGCCAGACGACCTCCACAGCAGGTGAAACATGATCCGGGCGGCGTGCGCTCTATTGCTGCGAGTCTTTTTGGAAAGAGCGCGCGGACATCAGCACCTTTTTACCAAGCGGCTCAGCAGCTGGCCGCCGGCTCCCTCCCGGCCCCTCCATGCAAACAAGCTAGTCAGAGCGACACGGCAATCACCGGCGTTTCCCAGGCCTTCCGCCTTTCCTGCACGCCTCCCACGTCGGCAGCCTCAGCTGCATCGATGTGGAGTAGTGAGAGAGACGCATGAAGTTAACACCTCTCAGGGTCCACGATCTCCATTGCCGTCCATGAGCTAAACAATTCTGGGGGCGGCGCTCGCAGGCCATGAAGTAGGGGGCCGTTAGCTCGTTAAAACACGGGCCGATCCCATATGTTATTTTAATGAAAAGCATGCTCGAATGAATGCAGCAACATTGGAACTAGTACTGTGAGCAGTGGCCCTAGTCGACTCCATGGGGCAACGCTGCCTAGATGTACACCGAAATTAAAATTGGGATTAAGTCAAAGTCATACACGTTGCCAGCTGGGGTGAGGGCAGCATGACAAACTGCGAGGTCGGCGCCGTGTCAGACTGGGACGGAGACAGTAGAACAAACTAGACCCAAGGTGAAAAGCCAATTAGCGCGAACGTAACATCACAAACTGAGAAGAGAACGTCGCATTAAGTATTTACTTGTCATCACGCAAGTTCCTAAATTAAGGCAAGCAAATTCAAGGCAAGATGGCTCGTCAATTGGCACGCATGTCTCTAGCAAATCCTCGATGAGGAGTTACAACCAGTAGCTCGCCAGCGTCTTTGGGTGTTGTCCATCCCAGTCCAGTGTCTGGACGGACGCATGTCGTATATCCTGGATGTCTATCCGGCGCCAACGGAAGAATATCATGAATAAGCGTTGCATGAATTGGAGTGGAAGGGCAGAGGCCTCAAGCCGCTATTGCTCTCTAATATATCTTGACCTGTGACCTGGACCTGGACCCGTGACTTCCAGCGCTGCATGAAAAGAGGTGACATTCAATCCCGAAGCGCGTCCTCATCATCTAAAGGCTCCTTCTCGAGTGACAGCCATACACCGGCTCACCGACACCACCTTGGGGCTCTTGACACCCGCATCGCTAGCGAAGACACTGCCACCGGTACCCTTATATGCCGTCATGGCGATGACGACCTGCCACGTCTGCCATCTTGTTGGTGAGTGCGGCCTCTTGTCGGCGCCAGCTCACCTGCTGCAGGACGTCCAGCGTGACGGGGTAGACCATGTGTTCGATGATGATGCGCAGTACTGTGTTGGGGCCGCCCTGCGTGTCTCCGCCTGACAGCGCCTGCGCCGCCTGCAACGCCGCCTGTGCCGAGGCGTTCTGCAACACAGCGCAGCGTCTCAGACGGGCCGCGGCGCAAAGGACGGACGTTTCAGACGGGCCGCAGCGCACCTGATGGACGTCTCAGACGGGCCGCGGCGCACCTGATGGGCGTCTCAGACGGGTCGCGGCGCACCTGATGGGCGTCTCAGACGGGTCGCGGCGCACCTGGAGAACGTCTTAGACGGGCCGCGGCGCACCTGAGGGACGTCTCAGACGGGCCGCGGCGCACCTGATGGACGTCTCAGACGGGCCGCGGCGCACCAGACAGACGTCTCAGACGGTCGCCTTAGACGGTCTGCGGCGCGTCATACAGTCGCGCCGACAGGTCGGGCGGCCGCGCGGTCTCGCCCGCGCTCGGAGGCCGCCCGACCACCGTCACACACACCCGCGCACCACGCCCGCTATTCAATCTGACCAATAGTGCACCACAATGGGCTAATTCTGACCGAACGGCCCAATCTTGCTGCGTAAATAAAATAGCATTGGCCGCGGGCGGCGCGGGGCTTCGGTGTGATTGCGCTGGGGCCAGGCCGACGCGCGGTGAGGGACGGGCGTGCCGCTGTCGCGTGAGTGAGCGGCCGCCGGCCGTACCGACCCAGCTGGGACCGACGACCACGGCGCTGGTCGGGCGCTGCGGCGCGACGGGCCCGCATGACGAGCGTGCTGGCAGAACAGCAACAGAAAGGACACTGACACAGCCGGTGTCCACTCGGGCCGCGACGCGCGCGTGATGGCATTCTGCGTCAAGTTACGATGACGTTCAAAAATATTCGTCGGTCAAACAACATGTGAACACTGTGATCAATCTCATGCCGCTTGACCCCTAGAGGTGAAAGACGGGCTCGCGCAGTCCTGACATCAAATGACACTAATACATACGCAATAGGCGTCACGTGAATGTCTGGCATCCACTGCAGCATGGACTGCCAAAAACAAACGGCTCCATGTCAACCCATAAGGCCAAGGACAAATGTCGTAAGGGCAAGGTGGAAGGACACTATCGTGCAGCACTGAAGCGGATTTTTGCCGGTGTATTTTTAGCGCTTGTTGTGCCTCTCGACGGAGGCATGCAAGGCAGTGGGCGTATCACCGAGGCACGCGCGGGGCGATGGGCGTGTCACCACGGCACACGCGAGGCGATGGGTGTATCACCAAGGCACGCGCGGGGCGGTGGGCGTATCACCGAGGCACACGCGGGGCGATGGGCGTGTCACCACAGGACGCGCGGGGCGATGGGCGTGTTACCGAGGCACACGCTCCTTAGAACGACATTGGCCAGTTCAAAGTCCGCAAATATTTTAACAAGCTGCGCTTTATTGCCTTCGGCAGCCAATACACATATTAAATTGATACTCATGGCAGAATAGCATACAATGCTAATCTGACGTTGGACC